TCTTTCATGCATGGAAAATGGCAAGAAAAAACCCTAAACTAAACAAACAAGCAACCACCAAAACTCACACATCAAAACCCGCTTTCGTTTAACACCAAGCGACAAACGATTACTTTGTTGCTTTCTCTCACCAGGGGAATGTTAGCTGAGCAGTATCCCAAATTGCTCTTCGATATGATGCCGATCATTTGGATAAAGCCAAGTGAGTATAATTTCACTAAAGTGTGAGCTATTCAACAAGAAATTGCAACAGTGGATTCCATTTTTACAGAAGATCAATGCTCCTGCCCTCGCAGAAGTACCCAAATGTGCACAGAATTAGTGTACATCTGACCTATGACTTTTACATTAAAAATTGGGCCTGCTAGCTTGACTCAGTCTCATCTCATCTGAGCAATAGGCCTGTCCCTCTCCCCACAGGTGTTTATAATTAGGGATTAGATGAAAGGACTAGTTAAATGAATTTTTATAAATACATTTAGGTGCTGCCCAATCTGTTTTTCAACCAAAAAGTACATTTGAGTAGGAAAGCACATGGTGCTTGAATTCCTGGCTCTACTCAAGTTGAGGAGAACTTTTAATGGACTTACAGAGGCTCAGTGTTTTACCTCACATGATTTAGCAAGGGTTGCTCAGGTTATTTTTAGCTGCTATGCTAGTAGTCTGTCATACTAGTAAGATATTTTTCCATAACTCTTGTTTTCTTTGATCAGGAGCAGTAAACCCCTGGTTTTATTTATTCACTTAAGCAGGACTTTCTACTGCAAGTGTTGCAACTTAGCTGTTATTAGCTAATTGGCGGTCTTACAAAGTTTCCACTTTTTCTGCCTGTGCTTTCTCTTGAGGTTGGATGAATCTGTTCAGACGTGCATGACTTTAGACTTTGCACAAGTTGCACGTAAGCAGTCTAGGCATACAAAGAGTTCCTGCAGAGTCGTGTTGTTGGATCTCAGGTGACTTGAATTGCGGTTAGGTTCTGTGGCTGCTGGACCAGAATTCTTGTGGAGCTGTTAAAAGGTCGTGTATAACCTATGCTTTAACTATGTACCTATTCAGATTTTTAATATGTCTTTGATTACAAAGTTGGTAGAATCACAGAAAGGCATCAAGTCCTGAAAGCGAATTAGTTAAATTAGTTGGGTTTAAAAACAAAACAAACCACACAAGGAAACACGAGGAAAAGCCAGATGATTTTATGATGTTACTCCCAAAACAATTTTGCATTTTTATTTAGCTTTAAGGATGTTACTGTAAATACATAATATTTGTATGTAGATTATGTTTCTATCAATATATCTGATTAATGTAATATTATTTGGGGATTTTTTTGAAGCTATGAAATTGGACATAAAGAAATCTAATGCATATGTTTGCCCACTCTACAAGACAAGCGAGCGCAAAGGAATCTTATCTACTACTGGACATTCTACTAACTTCGTCATAGCTTTGACGCTTAACACAGATAAACCAGTTCAACACTGGATCAAGCGAGGTGTTGCGTTGCTCTGCCAGCTGGATGACTAATTTTGGACAGTTCAGATACAGACGTCACAAGATCCCATTCTTTTTGTTGGCTTACAGAGGAAGAGGAACATCCTGTGTAAAAGAAACATCTGGACTTTTTTATATTAAAAGAGGGCATGCAAATATTTTCTGATCCTCGATATTTTTGTCTTAAGTATGTTTTATTATTAGTGTCTTTACAATCTAAAAGATACGGCTAGGATTTTAGCCTTTGGTAATATTATTAATGTGTAAACGTCAATTTTATGCATTACTTGAATATCACAAAATATATCTTAATGGAAAATGAAAACAGTCTGCACTTTCTGAGAGAAACATTACAGTTAATGAACTTGAAGCATTAAGAGTGCTGAATCATGTGAATGGAAAGCTAGTAGGTAGTAAGTTGGGGATTTCAGTCTGGGTTTATGTATAGCCTATGTTCTGTCATAGCAACAGCGAAGATTACGGTATGAAAAATCATTTAACTATCTACAGCAGGTACTTCTGATGCCTTCCTTCCTCAGCAAATTCATCTTTTCAGGATTTAATTCACATATTCTGATTTTTGTAAGAGGTTTTTTCCAAATAGTTTCCATGAAGAGTAAATTATAAAATCTCCCTTATGGCTGCCTGCCATAAAATGTTATCTGTTTCCCTGTTGCTCCAGAGAGGCAGTCCAGTTCACTTCCTTCACTGATTCTGCACTTTGGTTTTCTTTAAAAAAAAAAAAAAAAAAAAAAAATTCCTCAATGAAGGGAAAATAACAAGCAGAACATTCTTTTCCTTAAAACTACTGGAAAATGGAAAAAAAGTAA